AGGCCGAAGGAGGGCTGAAGAACGCGAGGTACGCATTGATCCTGCGGAATAGCCGCGTTGCAGCTTGTTGCACCCCCCCGCGGTGGTTACCCCTCGGTTTTGTCAATTAAATCTGCATTACGATGATACTAATCAGTAGACTGCAGGTTTTTATGAGTTTATAGAAAATGTGCATGTAAGAAAATGCATCTGTTATTATATTGTTTAAAATCACCTGAGGGCGTAATATCAGTTCTCATTTCTTCTAATTCTAAGATTTGCTTATGTATTTTGTCATTTTTTAAAAAGTGCAATCTAAAAATTTAAGATAGTAAGTTAAGATGGTAGAAAATTTATTGATTTCTCATACATGTTCCCTCGTGTACAGCTAAATCAATCTAATATGAGATTCCAAATGCTAATAAAAAGAGAAAAATCTTAATATCCAAAGCGACAAGCCTGTTCTCGACTGAGGAATCTCATAATACGTAAGTTAAACCACAGGTCTTCTTGGTACTCAACCTTGAAACAGCTGCTCTCTTTAGCTTTCCTTTTACTACTTTTGCAATTACTGTAAAAACTCGGTCAGTGGAACCTTTCTTTAATCTTCCAACTCTTTCTTATAATTTATACATCTGTTCCACTAGAAAGAAAAGCTTATTTCGTTTCTGCTATGGAGAAAACACCGTCTGTTTAATCTCATACTTCATCTCTAAACTTACGTTAGTAAAATATATTTATTACTATCGAATCTAATTTTTCAACTCTGCAACTACTTTACAGACGTTACTGCAATACTGACATTTGTTAAATCTTGTACTTCATTTCTAAAATTATATTAATAAAATATATTTACTACCAACGAATGTAATTCTGTAACTCTTCACTATACATGCAAATGTATGCAAATTGTCTCATTACAAGTAAGCAGTTTTCTACGAGCATCGTTTACATGTTTCATGTGGTCAAGCTCGTACGAACGTCGTTTAAAACTAATCACGCCGTCAGGTCATTTACCTAAATCCTGTAATCCCGGCGTTAAACGCGTCGCGAGCCTTGCAACCAAGACCCGGGATCACCGTGTTTAGCGTAATCGCTGCCGTTGTAACGCGGTTTCTGCGTTAATTCTGCGACCTGTCGCACCCCAGTTTACTGCACTCGTTTGTGCACACCTCAACTTCGATCTCCGAGTTGAACCTACTTTGCCCTTTGCCCCTGCCCGGAAGAAATTCCCCTCGATTTCCTCGGTGGTATTCCTCACGAATTTCACGCGAGATTTACGACAGCTAGACACATACTGCGACACACGCCTCCCACCTCGCTCTATTTCTCAGGCAATCGAGGAATAAAATAAATTGTACGTATAAATTCCGATAAGAGACAGCATTATTTTCTCACCTGGCTCCATTCAATTCTCTATTACTGTTTTTTACTGGCTCATCAAAAGTTTATGCGAGTTCGTGCTCGATAGTGGCTGCGTGCCTTTTTTCTAAGAGAGCTGCAGCGGCACGAGAAATCAATAACGCTTCTATTTCTTCCACGTTATAATAAAGAGAGTGTATCAAATTTTTCTAACACGTATATTCCTTTCGGTTTATGATTTGTTATAACTTATTGATTGCCTCCCAACATTATGTATATCAGCAAAATAAATAAAGAGAAAATACGGAACTATAGAGTTGCATTACTCGACTATTTCATTTTTTTAATAAATGTTAAAGGGGAAGAGTCAATAGGAATTTATAATTTAGGTTTGATTACATTAAATTTCTTAATATTCAAAATTTATATTTTATTATCCACTATCCGTTGATTTTATCGTACACCTCGTACGTTGAACTAAAAGCGTACTTTCATTCAATTAGTCTGAGTTCATATTAAATTCATATAAAAATGCTCTTAATAAGAACAGCAAATAATAGGCTTCCCTAGGCTAGCATAATGAGATTATAACGTATTACTTTGATGGTGTACTACTTCGTTGCAGATTATTTTCATTTTACATATTTACTATCTCATCTGATTTAACATTTGAGATCAGATAAAAATTTTAAAACCATGTCATATTAAACTAATTATAGTAAATGTCCTGATTTATAATCACTGGTTTAATATTGCATACAAAATTCTAGAAAAAGAGTGAATACAAATTGTGACGTGAACAGAAATTTAGACATTTACTATAATTCAGGATGATTATTTCTCGAACTCAACATAAATATGTAATTTTAATTGCAATCAGCATCTTGGGAATTAATTAAAATCCGAAATTGTATGAGACAAGTGAAACGAGATCTCTATTGGCTATCTCGTAACTAAACAAGAAACCACGAAATTTCGTGCGGCAGTTACCTAGCTGGGTAGATATTCGATACTTGGAAGAATCGAAACTTTGAGCGTTTGGAAAGGGAAACCCGTCGGCCATGCTGCGCGATGCTGTAACGGCGAGCTTATCCTGGATTCGAGTTTCTCAAGGCCCTCGACGAGTTCCCTGCCGCTTATTAATACGCCGGAAAGTGTAAATCCAGGTGAAGCGTGGCCAACGTGAAATTTCGATCGCAGCCCGAACGAGCAGGCATTCACACAAATTTCAATTTTGCTCTAATTCCTTCACCCTTAATATTCTCTTAACCAATTAATTCTTAAAGACGAACACTTTATTTATATATTGTAAGATGCATGTCATTTTTGCATTCAATATGACAATTTTGAATTTACTTATTTTCTTTCTATAATAACTGGAATTTTTATAAAAACTGTGCAGTCTTACAAGCTTGACGTATTTATTTAGAAATTAAAAATATGAAACACTCGATTTAATCTTGTATCGTTTATTAGCCATCGTTGTTTTATTAGATATAAGAATTTTGCTTATAAATCATGTCAGTAAAACTCCTATTAATCTTTTACTATGATCTACTTCATTGGTTAATCTTTTAATAGCAATCTTATTGGCACCGAATAATCTGAGTAAGTCGCGAGGAAACGACTTATAAGTCTGTTACGAGTACCACTGGAAGTCGTTGTGTTTTAATGGAAGACCACGATTTCCGGGAACTAGGTAAGATTTAAACGACGGGCCAGCCAACTTCTCTCGGTTTATCTGTAATTAATGCCGGCCCAGGAGTACGAAATTTTAATGACTCGTCTGAAGTTCGAGTTATAATTAAGTATCGAACATTTTTGTGGAGGCTACATTATCGCGAAGCCTGCGGATAAAAACGGAGGAAGTAATTATAGATGTGTTATGGTAGATAAAAATTACGAAGTTAATTATAGAACTATTATGGCGAATAAAAATTAAGGAGCTAATTATAGAAGTGTTACAGTGGATAAAAATTAAATGAGTAGTTAAAGAGCTGTTTTACTTCAAATAGTTCCTCAAGCGATGGTTTGTTCCATTCTTAAAGAGATTCAAACTCGATGAAACATGTTCTGACACTCTGGTTGGTTAATTCATGAAAACAAGTTGAGATCCAAAGTTATGCTTAGGTATGTACATTTCTGATATAGTGTACTATTAAGTTATCAAGCATACAAATTATGAAATGATATAGTGAAATAAATCACACATGAAATAACACATGCTTCACTTCCGTTCCCTTCATCAGATTTGAAAAAAATTTACTAATCGATTGATTATTT